GAGCCCATGCGTGACAGAGGCCCCCAGAACAGTGTGACTGACAGGTTTAAAGGGCCGCTCTGCTGCAGGGTAAAGACCAGATGCAGCGAGCGCAGGGGCAGGGACACCAGTTAGCCCAGGGGACAGGTGAAGGCTTGGACCAGGCCTGTGGTAACGAGGTGGCCGGAAATGAGCAGATGCATTAACCCCCACATTTCGTAACTAGGAGCGGCCGCGTTAGCTTACGTGATGACATCGGAGCTCAAGAGTCACATGCGTAATTTCTGGCAGAGCCCAGGTGTCCTGACTGCCCTCCCTGGCAGTCCCGGGCTGGGTGGGGGCACAGGAGGCTGGCAGCGACAGGAATCCTCCGGAAGGCGGGCCCAGAGAAGCAACAGTAAGGGGCCTGCCTGCTTTGGGCAAGGATGACCTTCCTTGGGCTCCCACAGCACCTGCCCGTCCACCAAGTCATTTTCTTCTGAGACCCGCCCCGCCTCACCCCTGCTGCTCTCCAATGCTTCTCCCTCCTCCCTTCCTCTCCAGGCTTACAGACCTGCAGTCACCCCGCCGGTCACTGTACCGCCACCCAGGGCGCCGCAGGCAGGTCCCTCCTTGCCCATCTGCAGACCTTTTCCACATCTCTTCCCTTTGCTGGGGGGGGGGGGCGCCCCGAGTTTCCTCTGCAGTCACCCTCCGCAGACCCGCAGTTCGTGCGTCTTCGTGGATGTGACACAGGACTCACGCCCCCGGTCAGCTCACAAGACACCAGGGCCTGTTGCTGGGGCAGCTGGGGGACACACGGCTCCTGGCTCCAGCTGGCCTGGCTCCTGCAGCGCCCGCCGCCATCGCGAGGGGGCACCGGGGACCGGAGAGGCCTGGGGCCCCTGGGGGCTCAGGTCATGATCTCACGGTTCGTGGGGTGGAGCCCCGCGTCGGGCTCTGTTCTGACAGCTCAGAGCCTGGAGCCTGTTTCAGAGTCTGTGCCTCCCTCTCTCTCTGACCCTCCCCGGCTCACACTGCCTCTCTCTGACTCTCAAAAATAAATAAGTAAAAAAAAAAAAGAAAAGAAAAGGAGTCCTGATGAAATCATTTGAACCTGGAACCCAGGCCTGAAGCCAGACACACACTTTTTTTTAACTCCATAAGCTTTTTTATTTATTTAGTGAGTGTGTGTGTGTGGGACGGAGGGAAAGAGAACCAGCAAGAGAGACAGAGAGAGAGAGAGACAGAGAGAGAGACAGAGAAAGAGACAGACAGAGACAGAGAGAGAGAAAGCACTCCAAGCAAACTCCATGCTCAGAGTGGAGCCTGACACGGGGTTCAATCCCTCGACCCTGGATCATGACCTGACCCAAAATCAAGGGTCAGACGCTCCACCAACGGAGTCAATCAGGTGCCCCCACTCTTGACCAGTTTGGTGACGTGAGCCAGTAACGTTCCCTTCTGCTTAAGCCAGCGTGAACCGGAGACTCCACACCTCTGTACGCACTCTCCCTATGCCCCCCTACACAGCGATGACTCCAAAACCTCCATGTGTATCCCGGACAACTCTTCGGAGCTCCGGATTCGTATCTGCCCACCTAGTAGGTGTTTTCCCCCACGTGTCACGCCCAGGCACCTCCACGCAAACCGGAATTCATCATCCCTGCTTCTACCATCTCAACACGCTACCCTTCGTGGTTTTCTCTACCCTAGAAAATACATCACCACCCACCCAAAGGGCTCCAGACAGGAACCTAGGCCATCACGACACCCCTGCTAGGCAGTCCTGACGGGGCAAAGCCCGGACCCACCTGAGCTGCGTGGCTTTGCCGAGACGCGCGAACACGTCTGAGCCTTGGATCTTCACGCGGACTTGCCAGGTTTGTGAGGAGCTGCATGTAGAGCAGTACGTGTCGGTGGCTTCCCCTCCCCGTCAGACACCCAGCGCCCCGCTAAACCCTGACTCACAAGTTCATCGCCACGGTCATTACCCCAGCCCACAGCCTTGCCCGCTTTCCCGCGAGGACTAGCGGGCGTTTCCATCCCATCGCCCCCCTCCCTGCAGGCCTGCTGGACCGACAGACTCCTGACCAGCCCGCTGGCGCCGTGCCCGGCTCTGTCACCTGCAGAGCCTAGTCCCGGGCACAGACCCCACTGCGGCCCTCCGGAGCCGCCCCCACGTCTCCCGACCTCCCCACAGCTGCTCTCCACGGCTCCGCACCCGTGTGTCTGCGCTCAGGATGCCCTTTGTCCCTCTTCTCCCGCCTGGTGAGGGTGTTCGTCCTTAACGCCCGATGGAAAAAATCCCTCTAAAAATGAAAAGACAACAGAGATGCCACACTGGCTAAGGAGGCTCACAGGCAAATTCAAACCCTGTCTCTCCAGAGGAGGAAATCTGAAAAAAAAAAAGGGGGGGGGGGGACAGGAAAGAAACAGTAATTTTAAAATACTGTTAACTGAAAGAAAAGCAAAGAAAGAATGGTGAGGGACGAGAAAACGTAAGAACAGTTAATCTCGCAAGAGGAGAGGACTTTGTAAGCAAGACAGAAAACTTGGGGCTCGCAGAAAAGTAAGTGGTACAGACTCATCCACGTACAAGGTCCTCACTTCTGCACAGAAGTACGGGAAGTAAAGCTCGGGAAGGAAACATAAAAGGCAGGATATTTGATTTGTGAACAAGAATGAAAGTCCAGGTTTAGAGAGAGCCTCAAAAACTGATGGAATCACAAACAATTCAACAGAAAGAATGGAAAAGGATTTCATGGGCGATTTGAAGGCGTGTAGATCAATTCAGCTTTTTCTCAATGTAAACTTGGGAAAAGCTAAATTGTGCAGAACTTTGGTAGGGAATGTTCTCTAAGACATAGGTTGTTTGTTTGTTTGTTTGTTTTAACTCCATAAGCAGTATAGGGTATATTATATGCCACCGTATTTTGTTCTTTAGAGGGAGAACACAGAAGACGCATTTTATTTGCCTACAGATGCACAGGCCATCTCTAGAAGAATACACAAAAACTGGCAAAATTAATTCTATCCAAAACTGGGAAAGAGAGGGCTGAGAGAGGAGGGAAATATTACCTTTTATATCCTCTGAATGTCGTGCTTTATAAATACTACCTATCCCTAAATGCAGTGCCCCAGCTTCTACCCATCCCCAAATGAGTAAACCTAAGTGAGTAAATAAATTCAATCTCTTTTCTGCACAATCACCAGATCCCAATAAACAAAGGGAAGTCTGCTTAAATAAATGTTAAAAATAATATACCTTCACCTGCTTCACTTGGAGGAATATGTTTTATCCAGAAATACTCTCACGTACACAGATCCTGGGGATGCATCCCTGCCCTGCGGCCAGGGGCTTCGCACAGGCCCTTCACCCACCCGCCTCATTCCTCCAGAGCCGCCCGCAGCCCCCCTGTAGGACCCCCTGTGTGTGCCCGACCTGGCCGGGAGGGGCCCAGCTCCCTCCAGGAGGGGGGCTCACGCCACACTCGGGGACAGATGTGGGGTGGGGTGGGGTGCCTGGGTGGCTCAGTCAGTTATGTGTCTGACTCTTGGTTTTGGCTCAGGTCTTTGTCACACAGTTCATGAGTTCAAGCCCTACATCAGGCTCTGCACTAATAGCACAGAGCCTGCCTGGGATTCTCTCTCCCTCTCCCTCTCTGGCTCTCCTCTGCTCTGTCTCTCAAAATAAATAAACTTAAAAATATTTATAATTATAATTAAAAAATGTATCGCATATTCACCCAGATTTCCAGACTTGGGGGGCATACACTTAGGCACTGAAGAAAGCCTAGAAGATAATACATTTATGGTGGTTCCCTCTGAGGTGAGGAGACGGAGTGGAGGCGAAGTGGAGGGAATTCTATTTTCCTCTACATTTCTGGATTTTAAAAATCTGTCATAATAATTCAAGCTTATGAAAAAGCATACTCTAGGTATGCTTTCCTTTTAATGTTTTATTTATTTTTGAAAGACAGAGAGAGACAGAGAGAGAGTCAGAGGGTGAGCGGGGGAGGGGCAGAGAGAGAGGGAGAATCAGGCTCCAGGCTCTGAGCTGTCAGCACAGAGCCCGACGCAGGGCTCGAACCCACGAACTGTGAGATCAAGACCTGAGCCAAAGTCGGATGCTTTACGGACTGAGCCCCCAGGCGCCCCTGTAGCTATGCTTTCCATTATTCACCCAGAGGCGCAGGGTTGTAAGTGGCGGGCTGGGTGCCGGCTGCCGGGCTTCAGCTTGTGCCCTTGAACCAGCGCTCTCACCTGTTTCCTGAGTGAAAACAAACACGAATCGAATGTGCCCCCTTCGTGTTTTACCCCCAACGCATAGAAAACGCCTTCCTTTGTGCTCCCAGCTTCCGGAAGGAATGTGCCAGGGCCGCCTGCTGGACCCGGAACCGGCCAAGGAAGCAGGAAACCACCAAGTGGTAATAAGCATCGTCTTGGTGTAAGACTGGAGCCCGACAAGACGGACTGAACAAACGACGCGCCCCGTCATCCAGTCAGCCCTTCCTCCAGGCCCCCGCCAGCGCTGGGAGCTATCTCCAGTTCCGCTGATGTTGTTTGTTCTCGAAGAAACCAGCTAGAAGACGCCCCCCCCCACCAGCCACGCTCCATCGCATCTTAGAGCGGCAGCAAGTCCTTCCTAAGGTCTAGCCGCAGGCAACGACCGGCCCGCACACATAACCTGCCTGCCCTGCACATTCTGAAAAGTGTTCTCGATTAGTTATCAACTTCAAAAACGTGAGATTTTTTTTTTTTCCATAAAAATTTACAGCTTCCTTCAAAATCCAGGTCAAGCAACAGTGTGCTGGAGCTCGGATGCACTCGCACCCGTCTCTTCACAGGGAGGGTGTGCCCCCCTCCAGCAGCACCCCCAGCACACACACCCCCGCCAGGAGCCCCTGCCAGCAGCCCCCCCCCCACTAGCAGCACCCCCCACCAGCAGCCACCCCCGCCCCCCGCCAGCCCTCCTCCTACAGGCAGACCTCCCGACCGGCCGGCCGGCCGGCAGCAGAGTTGACACTACAGAACTGTACCTCCTTTGGCGGACATTTAGGTCAGTCCCAGTTCAGCCCATTCTGCCTTTCAGGAACACAAAGAGCTCAGCCCCTCTGACCACAGGGTCCTCCTTCGTCTCTGATACTCCCACCGCTCAGGGCTGCAACACAAGGGGAAGGGGTGAGTACCTGAGGCCTTGCGTTTAGTTCCTCAAATGCCAAGCAGGCCGCTCTGGGAGGGGGTCCCTAATCTCCTCCTCACACGGGTGGCTTTGGGACAGGGGTGGGGGTCCTGAGCCCGAGCACCCGCCTGTGCGACCGAGCTGACATCAGAAGGCCCGAGTCTCGTCCTGGCTCCACACTGCTGGGCCAAGGACTTCCCTCTCTCGAGTCTGTTTCTCCACCTGTGAAATGGGCTAACAGCACTTCCCTGTTCAGTGAGTGAAACAAACCAGTGCGGACCAGAGGGCTTATAAACACGCTACAGGCACAAAGTGAGACAGGTGTGGACTAGGAAGAGGGGCGCTGTGGGACACAGGACAGGAAGGGGGGACACAAACCCCAGTTCAAGAGAGGAGGATGAAGGGCCGTGGCCACGTGATCTGAGGTCCCTCAGGCCCTCTCTCCCCCCCCAGGGCCTGGGGGTGCCTCTCTCTCCACCGGTCTCCCTATCATCAGGACGAGCCACTTTCTCCGCAGGCAGTAGCCCCCCCCCCCCCCCCGCGGCTCGTTTCCAGCCCCAGGTCACAGGGAGGGAGGCTGGACTGGACCGGCCATGCCCCCCCCTCCCGGCCTCGAGCCCCGAGCACCCTGGGGCGGGCCTGCCAGTCACGGCGCTGAGGTCGTTTCCCCCCGAAACCGCGCCGCCTCGCTACCCGGCGGCGGGGAAGATCGAATCACCTTCTCTTGAAAGCACTTGGCAAAGACGCACGAAAGGTACGAGAGCGAACAAAACAGCCGCCGAGATGCGATACAAAGCGCTGCCAGCGCACGACCGTGCGGCTGCTGGAAAGCAGACCTCGGGCGAGCGCCCCGGGGCGCCCCAGCTACCCACACACTTCCCCGCCCGCCGCCTTCGTCAGGAGGTCGCGCGGGGCTAAGCCGCGGCCCCCCGAAGGCTGGCCAAGTCCCCCCAACGCCAACCGGACCGCCCTCGGGCGCCCGGCTCGGCCCGGCGCCTTCTGGGCGCGCCTCCCGCCCAGGCTCGGGGTCACAGCGCCCCGACCCCGACTGGGAGGCCGGGGCTCACCTGGTCCTCACCGACTCCGCCGAGGGACGAGGCCGCGCAGCCCCCGCGTGTGTCCCCGAGCGCGGCGCGAGCCCGCCGCCCAGGGGGAGCTCGGCCCCTGCCGGCCCGCCGGGCGCGCACCCGGGGGGGGGGCGGGGGACGGCGCCGGGGAAACGGGCGCGCCTGTCCCGAGCCCCCGACCGCAGGGCAGGGACGCGCCCCCCAAGATCTTCCCACAAAGAGCTCCGGCTCCCCACCCGCATCCGGAGCGCGACCCGGAGCACGGCCCCTACCTGCCCGCGGGCGCGGAGGAAGCGGCGCGCCGTGGGGGCGGGGAGGCGTGGGGGAAGGGGCGCGGAGACCCCCCCCCGCCCGGAATCCAGCCCCGCCCGCCCTGCGCCCCGCTCACCGCCGCTCAGGGCCCGGCCCGGCCGCCTCCCGCCTCGGCCGCCGCCGCCGCTTCCTGCCTCCCGGCCGCGCTCGCCGACTGGAGGTTTCGGGTTTCAGTCCGCCGAGCCCCGCTTCGCCCCTCCCGCCGCCCCGCCGCCAGCACGCGGAGCCGGGCGGGCGCGGGCCGAGTAACTTCGCGGCGCCCCCGCCCCCGCCCCGCCCCGGCGCGCCCCCGCCCCCCGCGCCCCCGGTTCCGCTGCCGCCCGCCCTCGCCGCCGCTCCTTCCCACCTCTGCCCGCGGCCGGCCTCGCCCGTCGCTCTTTGTCTAGGAGGCTCGCCCCGCTTCGCCCCGGTGGCCCCGGCCCCCCCCCGGCCCCGTGTCGGCCGTTGGGACGTCCCCCTGTCCATCCCTCCCCATCACACTCCTACTTTCGGGTCCTGCGCGGGGGCGCCGCGCAGCCCCGGCCCCCGCCCCCCGCAGCACGCCCTGCGCCGCGTGCCTTCCCCGTCCCGCCCCGCAGCCGCCCGGCCGCGCCCGGGAACCCCTGCGGGGCGCCGCGGGGAACCGACCCCGGGGCCGGCCTTTGAGGACCCGCAGCCCTCGAGAGCGAGAGGGTGGATGTGAACAGAGCCTTACGAGGCTGCCCTGCCCTCCCCGGACCCGGAGGCCGAGGAGCAGACAGCGCAGCGCGCCGGCCCGAGCCCAGAACATTCCTTTCCGTAATGTTTGCTTCCCCGTCTCCCCTCCCCACGCTCTGAACCGTTTTCTCATGGCCGCCTGCGTTTTCTAGGGACCGCGCTTACTACGGGGAAGAGAAGTTGAAGCGAGTGTGGACTGCGGGGGGGGGGGGGCAGGAAAGCACCCGCTGAGCGTTTACACAGCCCGGTTCCCCGGCCCCCGCGCAGAGGATGCTGCACCCAGAGCAGGACTCAGGTTCCTCCGAAGTCCGCGTGCTCCGATGCGTGTTAATGACTCCCTCGTCTACAGGCGCTTCGGGAGCGGCTTCCTCACTGCTATTAGGCGCTGAGGCACCGTTTAGAGCACCCGTGGACGATCCGGCCCTTGCCAACTCCCCGCCAGTCCTCAGGGACGAAGGCGATAACGGAGGAAAACGGTAATGGATGCCTTAATATTCCCGCGGGGCAGACGCTTTACTTGGTCAAAAGCTGAAACTCCTCTGAGTCGAGGTCACCAGAATGCCAGCTGCTGAAGGAGCTGGCGTTTCAGACTTTTAGAGCATTTTAGACTTGTATAATGAAATCCCTGGTTATTAGTATTAATTTTAGAGACTTGTAGAGTATCTTAGACTTGTATAATGAAATCCCAGGTTACCATTATTAATTTTTTTTTGACTTGCATTGACTCTGGCACTGGCTAATCTTGTGACCCTGGGGGAGTTATTTAACCTTTCTGAATTTCAGTTGCTTCGTATACAAAATAAGCATCCTCACAGCTGCCTATCTGTTGAGTTTAAAAAGGTGAAATGAGATGATAGAAGTAGATCATCTGGTGCCGTGAAGCCTGAGAGCTAAGCCGTCTTAGAAGCCGGCTTTCGAGAAAGGTCTGAAAGGGTCTGCCATAGCCTGGGTGGAGAGAACGAGAAAAACAATTATGCACCTTTTGTCTCCACATCCACCCGTGAGGCGACGATGCCCTTCCCAGACTCAGCCTACTTCATTTTGAACTCAGCTGAGAACGTCGTTTTCTCCTGCTGCTCATTATCAAATATATTATTTATCTCAAAGGTTTTTCTTCCCGTAGCTCTTTAGTGCAGAACTTACTGTGCGTTCAAAGATAAAAATTGTTGCCAACAAATGCGTTTTTTCAACTGCTCTCAAGATTTTTTTTTCTAATAATATTGAGCTGTGAGCAGCATTCACTCAGATGCAGAGATAGAAAAGTTATTTTTTTAATGTTTATTTTTGAGGGAGAGAAAGAGAGACACACAGCATGAGTGGGGGAGGGACAGAGAGAAAGGGAGGCACAGAATCCGAAGGAGGCTCCAGGCTCTGAGCTAGCTGTCAGCACAGAGCCCGACATGGGGCTCGAACCCACAAACTGTGAGATCATAACCTGAGCCGAGGTCTGATGCTTAACCTACTGAGCCAGCGATACAGAAAAGTTATTATAGGTGACAGTTGTGTGAAAAACATGACATGGATTTTGGGTGAGAAATTTTTTCAAGAAAAGTAGAGAAAGATATACAGTAATTCTCCTTTTCCAAGTCACTTTCATAAGCCACTCCCTTCGGGGTCCCCAAAAGATTTCTGAGCTGAGATAATGAGAGGCTTTGCCCAGATGAATCGTAAATGCTGGTTGAAGAATCGCATAGGTTAAGACATCTTGAAAGTAAAGTATCTTTCCAATCCAGCCATCCACATAAAACTGTCAAAGCAAAATTGTGGAGTATGCTGCCTGTTTTGCATAAAATATCCCCCAGTCTTCACAGGCTGACTCCTTCCTACCCTTCACATTTCACTTTCAATGTCACCTCCTCAGAGAAGTCTTCCCTGATCAATCTAAAAGAGGTTCTCTAACCTCTGCTTGCTTGTTCTCTCTCTCTCTCTCTCTCTCTCAGAGCTCCCTAATTCTTTTTCTATATAAAACATATCTCAGTGTATACCGTATCCAATTTTTTCTATTTATTTGTTTATAGTATGCCAACATTGGTAGATGTGAACTCCATGAGGGGCAGGAATCCTATCTGCTTTATTTACCACTACAGGACCAGGGCCCACTTTTTAAATAAATTAAATGAAAAATTAAAAATAGATAAAGTACGTCTTCAGGGGCATCTGGTTCTCAAACTCTGGAATATGTAAGAATCCCTTGGAGAGTTCTTAGATGTGGACACCAAACACACAGTGGTTGGAGAGAAGCTTGATGTGTTTACAAATTTAGTGCTTCCAAGGACACCATCAAGAAAATAAAATACAATTCACAGAATAAGAAAAAATATTTGAGAATCATATATCTGATAAAGGACTTGTATCCAGAATCTGTAAAGATCTCCTCCACCTCAAGAGTAAAAAGGAAAGCAATCCACTTTAAAAACGGCAAAGGATCTAAACGGATGTTTCTCCAAAGAAGGCACAGAAATGGCCAGTAAGCACATGGAAAACTGTTGGACATCTTTCGTCATTAGGGAAATGCATATCCGAACAAAACAGAGACCCCACTTCACACAAACATGGCTCTAATGACAAGGTGATGGGGCGCCTGGGTGGCTCAGTCGCTTAAGCATCCAACTTCAGCTCAAGTCATGATGTCACAGTTTATAGGTCCGAGCCCCGCGTCGGGCTCTGTGGTGACAGCTCAGTGCCTGGAGCTGCTTCGGAGTCTGCGTCTCCCTCGCTCTCTGCCCCTCCCCCACCCTCACTCTGTCTCTTTCTCTCAAAGATAAACATTTTTAAAATGTCTTTAATGAAAAAAAAAAAAAAAAGGATGGTAGCAAGCCTAGTGGAAGGTTCGGAGACGTTAGAACCCTTGCACTGTGCTGGGGACCGTGCACAATGATGCAGCCACCTTAGAAAACAGTTTTTGTTAGTTCCTCAAAACATGGGGCATAAAGTTACCATATGACCCAGCGATTCCACTTTTAGGTATTAAAGCAAGAGAAATAAATACCTGCATCCACACAAAAGTCTATATTACAAATGCTTGTAGCAGCGTTATCCATAATAGCTAAAAAGTAGAAACAACTCGCTTGCCCATCAGTTGACAGGTGCGTGACGCGATGTGGCTGCCGTGCCGTGGGATATCACTGGGCCGTAAAAGGGATGAAATGCTGACGGCCCTGCCACAGCGCGCGAGAACCTCGAAAACGTGGAGCTAAGAAGCAAGACAGAAAGGGCTGCATATTCTGTAATCCATGTATATAATATATCCAGGAGAAGTAAATATATGGAGACCGATTAATGATCACCTGGGGGTGAGGGTAGGGTGGTATGAGAAGTGACTGCTAACAGTTACGGAGTTTCTTGAAAACGTTGTACAACTAGATTATGGTGATGATCACGCAGCACTGTGAATATCCTAAAATCCAGTGAATCATACGATTTAAAGGGATGAAATTTATGGTATGTCAATTATGTCTCGATAAAGCTCTTTCAAGAAAAAAGGAGGGCCATGGGGCGCCTGAGTGGCTTAGTCAGTTAAGCATCCGACTTTCGCTTAGGTCATGATCTCGCGGTTCGTGGGTTCGAGCCCCGCGTCGGGCTCTGTGCTGACTGCCAGCTCAGAGCCTGGAGCCTGTTTCAGTCTGTGTCTCCCTCTCTGTCTGACCCTCCCTTGCTCACGCTGTCTCTCTCTCTCTCCTAGAAATAAATAAAACATTTAAAAAAAAAAAAGAAAAAAGGAGGGCCTTGTGGAATGTGTTAAAATGCGGTTTCCGGCCTCTTCCTGGACAGACGGACGCTGCGGGAGTTAGGAGCCGGGCTATTTGCCCTCTCCTGCAGCCTCTGGAAAACCATCCCCTCCCCCCTGGGGGTCAGTCCTGAGCTTTGCACAGGATGACCTCCCGCCCAGCTCCCAGGGTGGGCTCTGACGGTGGGCATTTTTTTAAGCCAGATGCTTGGTTCAGGGATGGAGATAGACCTGAGGCCCTTGGGTCAGGTTGAAGCCTCCAGGACATCTTGCTGAGTGCTGGCTGGGTGGAACCGAAATTTAAGAAGCAGAGAGAGTGAGAGATGTTAGAAGTTAGGGCCAGGCTAAATCAC